CTGTAAAATCTCCATTCCCACCCCACTCCAGGGGAAGTTTACTGCAAAATCTCCATTCCCTCCCGATCAGCTGAGACTCGGGAGGTAGAGAATAGATGGGGGCGGGGCCAGTCAGAGGTGGTATTTACCGATCCTCCAAACTACTCAAAATTTCCGCTACCGGTTTGCCAGAACTGGTAAGAACCTGCTGAATACCATCATCTATCTATCTATCTATCTATCTATCTATCTATCTATCTATCTATCTATCTATCTATCTATCCTTGTCTTACAATCATTCATTTAGTGTCCATTCAAAGTTACAATGGCACTGAAAAAGGTGATTTAAGGACCAAGGCTTGCCCTAACAACCGTTTCACCATTTGCAACCTTCCCAGCTTCAGGCAATCAAAGTCCATGGAGGGAAGTCAACCACGTAGGTTGGGGAATTCTGGGAGTCGAAGTCCCCGGGTTTCAAAATTGTCCAGGCTGGAAAATCCAAGTTTAATCGAAGAAGCGGAGCGCCATTAATTTTTTACTTCCACCCCCCCAAAAAATACTTTAAAGATCTTTACTTTCTTTCAACCCCAGAATTTCAGTATCCGGATCCCATCCGTGGGCTTCGCCCGGAGGTTTTCCTTGAAACCTGCGTTCTGTTCATGCTCCACAGTTGTTGTTTTGTTTTTTTCAAGGACACATCATGTCAGGGTGGCAATGAATCCCATTCTGCTTTTGGGTAATTGCACCTTGATTAGAGAATGGATCGTGACCTTCCCTTGAAGTATACTTTAAGAAAATAAACCCGAAGATATATTTTCGAAGAAAAACTCATTTATTTGTTATAAAGAAAATAAAACATCTTACTGGCTAATTAGTTACATCTTGGCAAAGCTTCCCTGGCCACCTCTCTTGGCCGGAGAACAAAGAAAGGTTAGAAGAAAGTGAAAAAAATGTGGACATGCGCAGTTAGCTTAGAGATAAGAACTTGGCAAGCTACGGTAAGTCTGAAAGTTCAAAAACAAGAGCTCATCTGGTAAATACAAAAACGCAGTGACACATCATGCATATCCTCTCTCAACAGATAAAAGTCCTGCTGTGGACTCTTTCATGCGCTCACCAATCTCCCGCAGGTCTTTTGCCAGGAGGAAAGGTAAAAAGTTCACCCTGCCAGCTCTGCTTTTTTGCATCGGCAAGCAGCTTTTCAGTTATTGAAGGTGGTGAATCTTTTGGCACATCAGCAACAGAAATCTTCCCAGAGAAAGGGGGATTGGGGGAGGGATATATGTGTGCGTGTGTGTATGTATGTAGGATGGAGAATTTAGTCTTCTGCCCAGCGTAAACTTCAACTTCAGCCCAATTGGTTGTTCTTTCTCCAAGGATTATGGCTGAGATGATGTCCTTGAAGGGCAACACCAATGTAATCAATGTAAAAAGAAGGAGGAGGAAGAGGAGGGGGGAAGGAGAAGGAGAAGAGAAGGAGGAGGAGGAGGAGAGGGAGGCAGGGGGAGAAGAGGAGGGAGAGGAGGAAGAGAAGGAGGAGGAGAAGGGGAGGGGGAGGAGGAATTAGGAAGAGAAGGAGAGGGAGAAGGAGAAGAAGAGAGGGGAGGAGGGGAGGAGGAGGGAGGGAGAGGAAGATGAGGACGAGAGAGGAGGGAGAGGAGGAGAAGGAGAAGGAAGAGGGGAGGGAGGCAGAAGAATAGGAGGAGAAAGAGAGTGAGAAGAAGAAAGGAGAGAAGAGAGGAGGAGGAGGAAGGAAGAGGAGGAGAAGAGGAGGAGGAGGAAGAGGAGAGAGGAGGAGAAGGGGAGGGAGGGAGAGGAGGAGAGAAGGAGGAGAAGGAGAGGGAGGGGGAGGAGGGGAGGGGGAGGGAGGCAGAGGAATAGGAGGAGAAGGAGAGGGAGAAGGAGAAGGAGAAGAAGAAGAGGAGGAGGAGGAGAGAGAGGAGGAGGAGGGGAAGGGGAGGGAGGCAGAGGAATAGGAGGAGAAGGAGGGGAGAAGGAGAAGGAGAAGGGAAGAGGAGGAGGAGGAGAGGAAGAGGAGGAGGAAAGGAGAGGGAGGAGGAGGAGGAATAGGAGGGAGAGGAGGAGGAGACAAGGTAGATGGACTCCATCAGAGTGGTGATGGGGACGCTACTGGAAGGCCTGAAGGACCAAGCTAGTGGAGACTGTCCTGGGGAAAAAAAAATATCTAGACGGCTGACACTGACTTGATGGCACAAAATCAACCATTCTTTCCCCTTTCTGAAAAGCACTTAATCAAAATACAATTATCGCCATTTTAAAGCAAGTGCCAACACCGTTGCTTCTGCCCATAGGTGACCGAGAGCAATTCGGCTTTCAAGATAAGGAGAATCTTCACACTAAATTTGCATAACTGATCCCCTGATAATATCGAAAGGTTTTCTTTCTTTTCTTTTTTTTGGGGGTCCCTTTTGAAAAGGATGTTGGAAAATAGTTCATTTAATATCTGAGTGCAGAATGACACCCCTGTTGTTTGCAAATAAAATAAAATAAATAAATCTTCCACTGGAAATGCAATCTACAAAATAAAAAATAAAAAAAAGAAAAAAGGAAAGAAAAGAAGGGTGGGAAAGAGACAGAGAGAGAGAGGGAGGGAGGGAGAAAAACATAAAATCTTTTGCTGTGGCTGCCTGAGGCATATTTTAGTATTTGGTTGGTTGCCAAGCTCAATTTATTTCACTGTTTCACTTTTAATCGCTCACTTAGTTGAACGTAAGTAAAAAACACACACAGTGTTTGTTTTCTGGATACTTTCCTTGCCGCTGTTTCAGTCTAAATATATTGCCAACAGCCTCAAAAACTGTAATAATCTGCTTTGAATTTGCATGCAGGAGCGGAAAAAAAAAATTATTCCTTGTTCGTTTTCACAGAACTGGGGTACCACAGAACCATGGCCTGAAGGTAAGACAAGTTTTATTTCTATGAAACAAAAACAACAACAATAATAATCATAATCAACCGAAGCACACAATTGATTGACATTGCTCTATCAGGAGACGCCAGAGTCGAAGAAAAAGAACTGGGAAAAAAACCATGAAATATCATGACTTGGCCATCGAAACTACACGGCTATGGATGAAACATGTCACAGTGATACCCATTGTCACTGGGGCACTTGGTACCATGTCCAAAAATTTTATAAGATACATCAGCAAATTGCAGCTTCCTGCAATAACACCAGCAGAACTGCAAAAAACTGCGCTACTTGGAACATCGTACATCTCAAGAAGGTACTTGGTTGATACCTAGGACGCTGGCAGCAACCCGTATCAACCATTAGCATCAGTCCATGGTATTTGTGATGCTTTTTTGAATGTTCAGTTGACTGAGTTTCATAGTTAATGAATAAAGATTATTATTATTATTATTATAATATTATTATTATTATTATTATTAGTCAATCTTTAGTGAGATTCACAGCCTTTGAGGCTGGTTAATAGCTCAGCAGCTCAAGTCCTAACCAAGGACCTAGGAACTGTTAAGGTATCGTCGGAGGATGTAAGCTGTTCCGAGTAAGGTGGTTTTTTGTAGAGTCAAAATGTTCAAGTCCGGCAAATTTAGAATTTCTAAATAGCGGGGTAGCCCTTTGGGTATTGCTCCAAGGGCTCCAATTACAATCGGGACATTTCTTTTTCCACAGTCGCTCAACTTCAATTTGCAAGTCCCGATACTTTGTGATTTTTTCTTGCTGCTTATCTTCAATCCGTGCATCACCAGGTATTGCAATGTCAATGAACCATCCTTTTTTCTTTTCAACTATTGTTATGTCAGGTGTGTTGTGGACCAAGTGCCTGTCAGCCTGAATCCGAAAGTCCCACAAGATCTTGAGTTTCTCATTCTCTAAAACTTTCTCAACCTAATGTTCCCAGTGGTTTTTTGCTGTACTCAAATCCAAACTTCTGGCACAATTTTTTTTTTTTTCTTCTTCTTCTTCTTCTTCTTCTTCTTCTTCTTCTTCTTCTTCTTCTTCTTCTTTTCTTCTTCTTCTTCTTCTTCTTCTTC